GACCATTGACAATATACCAAACTACAAGTAGATTTATTTCAATGAGTAGTTAGACTACTTTATATTGTTAAACAATTTATCATATACTTGTTATTAACAACACTTAATTTTATTTTACTTTTGAACAATTTAGAATTATTCATAAAATAATTAATTTATGTTTAAGTGGAAGTTTAATTAACAGAAAATAATCCATTTATTTAATTTGAACAATGAAAAATATGTACGTCAAAGACAAGATAAAAAGTGTATAGCAAGTTTATAACAAATATGCAATCTAATTATGTACATGTAATATTAAGCAAATGTAATCAATTAAATATAGGAAAAAATATATATAATTAAAATAACCATTCAGTCTCTCACGAATAAATTATAGATCATATAGGATTAGCTTGAATTCACACATAATTAGAATTTTTCGATATCACATATGCCTCTTAATCTTACAATTTTCTCTTTCAAATATGCACAGCAATATGATTCACTCGTGTATGTTATGTTGCTTAAAAACTTAAATTTTATATAATTTTAAAGAGCAAAAGGAGATAAAACTTGTACAGATTTATAATTTATATTATAAAATAATACATAAATATTGTACAAAGAAAAAATTTTTTAATTTTTAAAGTAAGTATAGTTTAACTGATGTGTAGTTCAGGAACAATCATTATCATCTCCTTAGCCTCTATAAAAACCTGTGTACAGGGTCAGCTCTACCTTAGTGATTTGTACTCTAGTTGTGGACCTGACACAATCTCATTATGGCTGCGGGAGCGAGAATGAAGCAAGATATGTGTTATTGTATGGTCACCCATCCGGAAACCAACAGCCAACTGTACAGCTGAATATCGGCGCTAAAGCGTCGACTGTGGTACATCACGTTTATATGTAGTTTAGAAATCAATGTATATTTTTTATTTATTTATAATCTGTTTTATAATTTGTTTCATTTAAAATAAAATACATGACAATTATTTCACTATATTCGATACTGTATTTTTTTATATGAATCTAGTTAACAAAAATAGTAGGGTGTCATATATTTCACAATAAGTAGTAATTTTTACGGTACTTTTTTTTTATTATAACTAGTATCTATTCGAAATTTAAGAAGAATCCCTTGACGCAGTACCCTCAACCGCACATCACGTTATCAAACTGTATGGGGAAGTGTATCGGGATCTGAAACCAAGTACGTAGTGTGAAGTTTGTCTCTATGAAGTCTTAGATCGCAGGTTGTAACTCCTTACGTTGCCTCTTTTTTTTCTCTTTATTTCCGACAGACTTTTAATGGCTTCTCCGGCTAATCTCCGGCGGCCATGTTACCCTAACCAATGCTACAAAATTCAAACTTGGGGGCTTAAAGTTTAAGCTCTACAGATGAAATTTGTATCAAAACACAATCAATCCCTTTTTATTTAAAGTCTATTCATTAATTTGTGCATATTTTGATGTATATATTAATTTATATGACTTAATTATATCATAAAATGCATAAACAGAATTATGTTTTTGTTTATAATATAAACAAAAATCATTGAACTATATTATAGCTCAGTGAGTTTTTGGATTCTATATATTTTTTGGCTTTATATTATATAAAAATATTAAAGATTTTCAGTGACTTTATAAATCACTTTAAAAATTTCATCTAAAATAAAATTTAGAGTAAACACTAAAGAAAACCTACAATATGAGATGGAAATATAAAAAATGTAATTTAACAATTTTTTTTAGTGAAGTAAATTTGTGTCTAAAAATAAACATTATTCATAGTTTTCGAAAAAAATATTATTGTCCATGGGCGAATTTTTGCAAACAAAGAATTTCACATTATTAAGTACAATGCATAAAAATTAAAGCTCAATGTTAAATTAAATTTATCCCAACCTATCCTGTTTAATAATAATTATTATTAGAAGTATATTTATTATACTTCTATCGCTGTAGTTCTGATTTAGATGTTAGTTATTAAACATTTTTTATGAAGAATTTATAAGACGCTATATTAGATAAATTATAATAAAAATTCTCTAAAATATTATAATAACAATTTTCATTTAAATTATTATCAAAAAGTGTATTTTAATATATTATCAAACTGTTGTGTCTATTCGTGTACATGAATCAATATATGTGTTATTTTCACATTAAAAAAAATAATGTATAAATCTTATATGATGACGTAAATCTTACTCGATTCTAGGATTGTAGCAATAAATATGAAGTACAATATTTGCGTACACATTAATCAAAATAAAATTTGTTAAAAAAAAAAAATTTATAAAAATTATTAACGAAAATAAATAAGGTTAAGCACTCTTAACTTTATTTTATATGTCATTATACTTTTTCTACAGGGTGTAAATCCTTCGAACCATAGTAATGTATGGGCGAGTATCCGGGTAAAGTGTAAAATAGGACCTGGTTTTTTTTTTTATTTTCCAAAATTGGAGGAATTTTGGAATAACCCCCCCGAATTTCTCTAATATTAAAAATAAATCATACCACAATATTCCCCGCAAAATTCTCATACAAATTGAATGGTCACTCGACTTTTTGTAATTTGTGCGCCCTCCCCTGAACTTTGGATTCAAAGTTGGAAAAAAATTTCACAATAGTGTGACCCATCAATTTGTATTGAAATTTCACTGGGAATCCTGTGATGCAGTTTATTTTTAGTTTAATGGATTAAATAATAAGAAAGACCGAAAAACCCACAAATAATGTGATATTTTTTTAATTTCATGAGTTTATTTCGTCTTTTATTATTTATTCAAACCGATTATAATTTTTATCATTGAAACTGTTATAAAATTATAAATTTTTTTCTTTTTAGGTCGGGGAAATAAAACAATTATAATATTGAAATGAATACTTTTAACTTTATTACAATAGGATAATTAGAAATAATTATTTTAATGTAATCGGCACACTACTCTTTTCCGAAATTAATCAATAATGAGAATATGGTACATCACTGAGTTTGTTAATGTTTATTTAAATGTTCGAAAAATACTGTTCACTATTGAATAGTCACTTATTAAGTTGCACATAATATTAGATAACCTTTAAAATATAGCTTCTTTTTTTGTGCAATAAAAATGCATAAATATTACATTATTTGTAGGTTTTTTCTGTCTTTCTTGTTATTTAATCCATTAAACTAAAAATAAACTGCATCACAGGATTCCCAGTGAAGTTTCAATACAAATTGATGGGTCACACTATTGTGAAATTTTTTTCCAACTTTGAGCCCAAAGTTCAGGGGAGGGCGCAAAAGTTACAAAAAATCGAGTGACCACTCAATTTGTATGAGAATTTTGCGGGGAATATTGTGGTATGATTTATTTTTAATATTAGAGAAATTCGAGGGGGTTATTCCAAAATTCCTCCAATTTTGGAAAATAAAAAAAAAAAAAACGAGGTCCTATTTTACACTTTACCCGGATACTCGCCCATACATTACTATGGTTCGAAAGATTTACACCCTGTATATCGTTATTTTATAAAGTATACTTAATAATAATTGGTTAATATACTAAGGCATAAAATATACTGAAAACTGAAATATTATTTTGATTTAAATCCCAAAAATTTACAAATTATTAAACCAACACTCTAACTGTAATTAAAATTTAAAAAAAAATAAACCTAATTCTTACCAAAAATACGTTTTAGTTACCTCTAATATCCGAACGAATTTTTATATATCCCAATAAAAGTTTTTTTCGACAACTTAACTAATTAATTCAATTGTAATAACTTAATTTTTTTGTCTTACTGTATGTTCGCGCCGCATGCAAATCATAGATAGCGCGCGCTTATTGTTTCCATCTACTCTTTCTCCGCCGGTTGTTTGGCGGCATCGGTCGGTTATCAATGCCGGCCGATAACTGTATGATATGTATTTTTGTTTAGTAATAGGTTGAGTAATAAGATTTTAGTATCATGTTTCTCCTTGTTTATCAGACAGTTGATTTTTGTTGTTGTAAATCACACGGATGGCATTTTCTATTGTTTTATTTAAATTGCACCGATTATGTTTGATATGTTCAATTGCAAATCATTTGATTAAAATATTTACCTATGAACATTGGCATAGAATAATTGTATACAAAAATCTGATTGGTGAGTTTAGCAGTTACTGTTACATTTATGTAAATTATTAACACATTATATTCATTATTGTTATACCAAACGGATGTTTTGATTATAAAATTTGTCATTTTATACTGAATTGTTTATTGTTATTTGTATAAACTTAATTTTATGTCAGCCAACAACCACAGTCTTCTTTCTGTATAAATTTAAATACAAAGATTTTTTCTTATTAATCAACAGGTAAGCGAGATATTATTTCTCATCCTGGTATTAACATTGTAATTACAGTGGTTATCACACATTATTCCCTATATTATAGAAACTGAGGGAATTTTCTTATAAATTATAGCATTTATAATGTCAACTAAACACGATTTGCGAGCTTTAAACATATCGCTTTGAAAAATTATTGTTACTTATTCAGCTATGCATTATAGTTAAAAATCAATGGATATAACATATATCTAATTCTATATAAAATCAAGGCCAATATATTATTATATCGAAACAGCTAGAAAAAAAAATTAAATAGTACATAAGTTTTTCTACTTCTGAGGTTATTTTAATTAGAAAGTAAACTGGATAACGGAAAATATATAAGCAAATCTAAAAATATTTGAGGAAAAATGTTTTATTAAATAAAATTATTAAATAATTGATTGGTATGACGTAGAAAGGAAAATAATATGTGAATTATCTTTTCCACGATTTATCGGACACTTGTAGATTTATTATTTTCAAAATATTTGAATTTGCACAACTGAACAATTTCAGTTGGATTTTTATAATATATGAATAATAAAATATCGGTTAAATAATATTTATCTTTTAAAAATTAATTTAAATAATTTTATGTGTCCCGAAACATGCTCAATTTCATAACCTACTATACTTATTTAATTAAAATGTAACACAATATTTTTCTAAAACACAAATATTGACGCATTTTAAAATTTTATCAAAAATGTATTGTAGTACAAGTTGAAGTTTGATAGAGCATATATAAATAACTGCATAAAAAACTTTAGTTTGAATATTACTTTTCAGTGTAGTTAACATTTTATTTTAAGATGTTTTTCCATATCTTGAGTTCAATAATTTCGATAAGTTTTATCATACATGGTGTTCAATCAATGGGATGTATAATCAAAGAAGATTTAGACTATCATGTTTTAGCGAATAAGTATTATGACTTACAACAAATAAATACAGGTTGTAAAAAAGAAGAACAGTTAAGTCGAAATGAAGTCCATGTTCTACCTCCACTCACCGAATCACGACGTAATAATCTTCTAATACTTTAATTATAGAATAAATGATTTGAATACTTGAAATCAATAACGAAATATGCGTCAAAATGTAAATAAAAATAAAAACTGAGTTAACTTCAGAACATATTTGAACTGCTCAGAATAAATATAGTCTTAGCACAAAATAATAATAATACTAATAATATTAACATACAAATATATAATACTTACTTGTCAATAAATATTAATACATAAACGCTAAGACTTATAAACAACTCAAAATCAACTTTTTATCACGTTATTGATTTCAAAATTAACTTAATAATATGCTGTTATTAAGATTTCTTTAAGATACAAAACCAAAAAATGACTAAACAATTATTTTTTATTTATTAACTATTAATTATATTACAACAAATATTCCATACTATTTCCAGATACAAAATATGTAATTTACTATAATACAATATTTCTACTCATATTTTCCAATTGATTTTTCTTAAATAAAACTAAAAAGTCGACGTATTAATTAAAAAAAGATGTTTAGAAAACTTAAGCATTAAATAAAAACATCAGTAGATTAAAAATTAAATTTAACTAAGCTCGTCGATTATTTGAATTATTAAAAAAAAATCTTCTTTACCTATTACCTATCTTCAATTATAGCAATGAGTACAAGAGAATTCATAAGCTTATAATACTTAGTAATTTAGTTAATTAATTTTTTTTCAAGGTGATTGGAAAACGCTAACTGACAAAGTTGTTGAAAAAATTAAAAAGCAATACAATAATTTAAAATGTAGTTACATATTTAGTGCATATTTTCATTTTCAAACGATCAAATACTTTTTGCAGAATGGAAATAATATACAATCATTATTGAAAGAAGAACAAATTCAATGGCTCATGTTTAATGAAGAATCAGTTGATATGCTTGCGTCTATGTGGAATGTAGGTATAGGAGATGAAATTAATGAAATATGGTACATGCATCTGTATAACGACACTTTAATGAACTTTATACAAATTGCTTTATTAAAAGGCGTTGATGAGAATTTTATAAATAATATCCTCTTAGCAAATGATTCTGTTACTCAGGTTTTAGAGAAGTTTACTGACAAAAATTGTCACCAAGAAAATAAATTCAACTATAAAAATAAAAACTCAATTCTGTTTAAAAAATATATACAACTTAAATCTAACCCCGAATCAATTCCATTGAGACTAGAAATAATTGCCTCCAATAAATATCAAATCAATGATCTCATAGAATCTAATATAAAAAATGGCGTTTTTATAGAAGGAAATAAATATTTTTCTACAAATTGGCTTTTTTTGAACAATATATTAAACAGCATAGAGATAACTAATTACATACTTGAATCGTTTCAAATTCAAATAAATGGTATATCTATTTCTGAGAGGCTGTTAAATAACTTTTATGAAATGCAGCAATCAATACATTTATCTTTATTCAATAGAATAAAAAAAATTGAAGACTACATTCAAGGTATTTTAAACTTTTTTAAGGCCATTTTCTTGCGTATTGTGTGGAAATATTTTTCGTACTGCAACCATTTGTTCCATTTACATAGGACAAATGATATAAAATCTATAAGGGCTACGGGTTTTCAAATATTTGGTAGTCTTCGAAAAGTATTAAATAAAAGTCATAACGTAATAATTAATTGTTTAGAAGACTTTGTACAGTTTTTTGATCTCCGTAAAGATATTGATTTGTTAGAAATACATAAAATGATTCAGGACAAAAATTCTAACAAAAAATCAGGAGTAGATTTGATTATTGAAAAAATTAAGTCAGTTCTAAATAATCTCTTTTCTAATTCATTTTATATAAATGGTGAGAAAGAAGAAAACTTAGAGTTTTCGGCTGAACTTGAAAGAAGGTTACAAACCTTTTGTCATGTAAATCACCTAAATGTAATTGAAGAAAATGTAAATATTACAGTGAGATATAGTGTTTACAACGCTAAAGTGTTTCTTGCGTATCTTAAAAGGGAATTGAATAACATCAGTTTTAATGTCATACAATCGTTTTTGAAGTTCTCTCGAGAATTGAAAATGGAAAATAATAAGGTGGAAATACATTCAACTAAACATTTAAGTATAGCTAATTTCGTAGATTTGTCAAAAGTTTCATTTTAAGTTTTATTTAAGTTTATTTTTATCCAAATAAAAATTATAATACAATAAATAAAATACCTACACTAACGTAAAGAATATTTTTGCTTACTGATCAAAAAGTTATTTTTAGATTATTTTACTAATTTTCGAATATTGTACCTTAATAATAAACCGTGAGTATCAAGTTAATGAAATAAATATAATATTATATTTTAAAAAGATACAACTGTATGAAAAAAATTAATGCACAATTGTTTTTAATTTTTGTAAAACAACCTTTTGTTTACCTAACTGCCATCATTAAGTAAATCGCTAAATGCCGAAAGGGAATAAATTTATTTTTATAATTTATTATTTTGCAAAATAATAAAAACGAATTATTTTAACAAAAATTTGTATTATAAAGTAGTAAACATAATTTACTACTATGGAATCAAATCCGAGCACTTAAAAATCAAATATTGTTGTAATATACTCGTCACTATTATAATATGAAATAACAGTGGGCTACTCGTGTTCACAATAATAGATTTTCATTTAATCTTTTCATTTATGACTATTAACACTTATTTATAAATTATATTCATATGCTTAAAATAACATGATTGTTTTTAAATAAATAATTCAGAGAATATTTAACAAACGTATACTGTCGTTTAATTATTAAAAACGATTCAGTCATGAGTCACCTTTAAAAATTACTTTTTAAGAAATTTATAAATTATACTTGTAAAAATAATATATAATGAAATCCTAGTTCCCATAGTGACTATTTCACTTATTTTACATAAACGTTAACTTAATTAACTATATTTATAAATGACGGGTCGGGTGTTTTCTGCTACTCTTTACAGGCGAACAACGATAAAACAATCTAATTAAGGTCAATTACAGACAGTAATTTTATTATATATATATAAAACTAATAGACATTCAATATATTGATATATTAACACCAAAAAAAAAGTCGTAAAAGCATCACCCAGCCATCAGCCAACCACACTGCAATTTGACGTTGAACGTCTGCCAAACGCTTCCCAATCAATTCTCCTTTTAAGTATGGAATGTCACCTCCGCTGGTCTTGATTTCCGTTGTGCACTCGCGTAGTAGTACGTAACGGATAAAAAAAACTTTTGGTTGTCGCCTAAACAAGTGGGGTAATGGGCGATTTTAAGCCACGTGGAGCTTGACCGGGCTACATATGTAACTATTGAACAGTACTTGTCTGCTTTTTTTACTCTTATCTTAATAAACAAACACTATGTGTCAACCCTAGTGTTAAATGTAAAAACAAATTATATTAACGTTATATACAAATGATTTGTATACTATCCACGTGTATTAATTTATATATTTCATATTTTATGCTGAACTATCAATAAACGATATCATTACAACAATGACACAATGATGATTATTCGGTGATACAAAATACTATAAAAGGCAGAGTAATCCTTCTCAGTCAGTGCCGAGGGCTTGGGGGAGTCTGTCTCCAGATATTCAAAGAACTGTTATAAACATGCTCTTGACATCTATACGTAAAATTCGTAATCATCATTGTTGCAATTCTCACGTGTTAATTTATGAACTAACACATTTGAGTTCGTGTTATTTTGTTATTACTTGATACTATTAAAAGTTATTATAAGAATAAAGAAAAATCATCAGGTAAGATTTCAAATCAATAACAGTCAATACTTATATTATATTATAACACAATCATTTAGAATTAATAATCTGAGTACAGAATGATAAAGCAATAGATCAAATAATTATATTAATCTTTAAACTTCAATTAACTATAACTGACTAGTTCGTACCTTATACATAATCACATTACATGGTATTCGTGAGATGGCCACCGCCTCTTCGTTGCCTCAGTGTATTATTACAGGTACTTACTAGTTGGGTCATTTATAATATCTCTATAAGAGGAACCTTAATTATTTCCTTTTATATCTACTTGTCTTTATTGTTCTAAACCCTCGGACTCTAAAACCCCGATGTCACCAATGTCGAGTCATCTTTATTTTTTATTATTACAATATAGAGTTCAAACACTACAATTCATTAAAGAAAATATGCCATATTCTAGACAATGTTCCATCATTCCTATAAAAGTTGATCTGTCACATTTAAATTGGACGGTTTAAATGTGTAATTGACTTGAGTAAATAACGTAGCCAAGTTTTCTTAAAGAAGTGTCACAATCAAATGAAAATAACAATTTATTTCCAAACATAAATTGGACTGGCCCTACAAAAGTGGTTTAGAAAAAGACTGGGCCGTTTTATGAAACGGATATCGCGTGAATTTAAAAGGTCTACATGATAAAACTTCAAAAGGGCCGGTTTTTCGTATAATTAGAGTGATGAACAGTTTTTATCAATAAAAGATTATTAAAAACTTTGAACAGACTAAAATAATAAATGAACTTTTTTCAATTTTAGGACACATAAAATTTATATTTAATGAATGTAAATAAAGATAAATTATTTTTCAAACTAAATATACCATCAAAAACTAAGAGAATATTGTTATAACAATCAATAGTAGTTCTAAAAATTGAATTAAGTTGGGTGATTTTAAATTATTATACATTATTTGTAGATTATGACTTGGTTTTTAATTTATTTGTACGTGAATCATCTCTATACATACGTTTACTTGTTTAAAAATATGTTTGTTTTTAGTGAATATTCTTATACGGTACATTCCTCGTCTTCTTTATTCATAAAAGTTTAACAAATATCTATATTATTACCCACTGTGTGTACCTATGATTCATCAGTATTATAGATTAAACAAAAAAAAAAAATTAATAACTTTTTATTAAAAAGTTTTAGCAAGGCCAAAATATGGCTTCAATGATATTAACTATAATTTTAAAATTTCCATGATCAAACCCAATCTACTATATTGTCACAGGCCAGTACGTTTAGTAAAGTATTTAATTGTTAATTATTGACCAAATCACTCCATTTGAATGTCCAAATGTATGAGTTTCTATCTTATATCGTTGCATATGTTAGTTATAATGTAATAAACAAACAAAAAAAATAGGTTATTAAAGACGGAGCGGAATATGTATTAGTTTTTATTATCTCGTGGTTAAACTCTATTGAGTTATCGAATAATAAAATATCCCTACTTCATCTTCTTTTATTCTTGTTTATTACATGAATTTTTAAGGAATAAAATATGCAAATAAATATTCTCACTTTCCTCTCGTAGTTGTCTGAATTAATCTTATGACAACTTCTCGGTTCAGTGTTAACAATCGTCTGTAGGACCTTACGTTTATTTCTATTAATTAGATAAGTGTGTATTATAGATTTTAATCATCAATATGCGCTTTCATTATTTCGACAGTATGCGTCGTTCATAAAATACGCACTTCAAAAGGATTCTTTACAATGAGACCTGCAGCTATTATGATATATTATTTTTTATAATTTTCAAACCCTTTTCATATTTTAATAGGTTTTACTAATAATATTTTCGATAAATTCTCTATAGTCAATATTAATATTCTTAAAACTCTGAACTTTTCAAAATAGAATTATAAAAATATGTCTATCTATATTCAAATTATAATCAACGTTTTTCAGCGTAAGGACTTAACTGGCGCGGACACAGTTAACCACGTTAACATTTATTAAACATTATTACAGTTCACCTCTTACTAAGCTACACGTCAACTGCATACACGTTATCAAAAGGTAAATGATATAGTCCTTTATGGCTGGCGGGTACATTTTCAGAGAATATTTCCAAGATGTAGTTTTTTACTCTATAAGCTATATTTTTAATAATGANTAGTTTTTTACTCTACAAGCTATATTTTTAATAATGAACTCTATCAGGACTACTAGCTCTAGAATAAGCTTGTCAATGGAAACAGCACACTTCCAAAATATTCTTTCTTAAATTTAGTACTACTCTTTATCTCAACTGCCTGCACATTACCGGAAGGTAATTGGCATAGTGCTTTCAGGCTGGCGAGTACACAGGCATAGAGTATTACTATTGTGACTAATTAATTCTAATCACAATATTAGACTTCTTAACTTTCCATAGCACATTTAAAGCTGTCCAGAAATGAAGGGCACAATAATATTTAACATCTTTGAGTCTTCTAATTATTAAATAAGTAAAAAGAAATGATATTAAAATTCTATGGAGATATTTGGACGAAAATTAAATAAATAAGACTTGTTATTAATAAAATATTGATAAATTATCTAAAAAAAATATTCACCATTTAGTACAATATACATAAAAAAAATATAATTGTAAATGTATATTATATATTAATATATATTTATATATATAAAAAAAAACTAAGTCATAGTTTTTTTTAGTTATAATATTTGATAAGTTTTTGTAAATAGTAATCACTTTTCCAAAAAAAAACTCTGTAAAATTTAAATTTAGCACAATTCGAACATAAGATACAACGTATTAACGTAATTGGGCGGAAAAATCTCAAGTTTTGCAGAAATTATTTTTTTACTGGTTATATTAAAAAAAAGGACAATCCTAGGAATAATTCGAAAATTCATCAAGTTCCTGGCATTCTAACTCCAAAATAATCTATATTTTTAGAAAAAATTCATATTTTAAATTCTATACTTTACAAAAATTTTATAATATGTAATATTTTTAAACAATTTTTTTTTCTAAATTTTCATCAACTATTAGTAATAAAGAATATAAAATGAAATTTTTGGTAAATTAAGTATTATACACTTGTGTAAGTTGTTAATTTGAATTGGTATATAAAGATAGAGTTTGTCAACGATATCGATATCGACGACTTTTTTTATTTTTCCCACAATATTGATTATTTTTAAAATATCGCAATAATAAAAAAACACTGTTTGAATTTTGGTCACTTTGTTATTGAATATATATTATTTGATATTAGGCCAAAAATAGTTCGTGATAACCTTATTATTTTTTGTATATTATTAAATATAGATTTGAGATAAGACGAAAAATGATATTTATTGATACAAAATTCTATTCTTAGATTAGGTTTTTTATTATGACATTCTTGTTGTTCCTATTTTTAATCAATCACGAACAAAGTACGGCACAAGAAGAATTAGAGAAAAAATTCTTTAAATTAGAAGATATACAGCAACAACTGATTAAAACTCAATCTGGAAAATAAAATGAAATTATTAAGCCCCAAAAAAATCTCTATTAGATATTAGTGATGAAGGTGATGATGTTTAATTCTGTTTAAATTTTATTTTTGAAAAGACTAAAATTTGTTTACAGTTATGACAAAGCAATAGAAAAAATTAAACAACACTTATAATCTTTTTTATTGTTATTGTTATTGTTATTATTATTTAAAACCAAAACACTAAAACTATAATAGAATTATTCAATAATGAACAGTTTCATCCATTTAATACATAAACAATACAGGGTGTTCAGTAAGTAAGGAAACGGTCTACTATTGTCCTCATTATTTGTAACAATTTACCTGTTTTTTTGCTTTATGAAAATTTTGTACAATGATTAAGTCTTTTAACAAAAAAAAAAAATTATTTTTTCATAATAAAAGGTAATTTGATTATATAAATCGTTATGAGATATAGCTCTATATTATCTATATATTTTTTATATTAATTTCATTATCTGATTTGGTAAGTATACCATTGTCTGATTTTTTCAATAATAGTAACTTAACGGTATTTTTGAAAATGAAAAAAATGATGAAAACATTTTAAATTTAAATTTCAGTTTTTAATATAAATTTTTTTTCAATATAGCCATATAATATCGCTGAAATTCAATACGAAATCGATATCTAAAAATATATCGATGACGAACACTAATAAATAGTATAAAATATATTATTAAACAAGTCATAATTTTACAATATAAACGGGATATTGTTTTTATTTTTATCAAAATCAACTCTACTTCAGTAAGTATTAATTAAACTATTATTTTTATTGTAATATATATTTTAATTTTTAATTTTATTTACTATTCAAAATAACTTTAGTTAAAAATACCCAATTTACTGATAATTTAAATTAAGCATGCAATTTAAAATTTAAATTTACATTATTTAATAATGTTGATGTTACGTATTTTTATTTACACGTAAATTGCCGTTTCAATTTGATGTAGTATTTTTTTTTTTTAACTGCATGTCATCAAAAAATCATAGATTCTTTTAAAATAACTTTGTTTAATGATACTCTTTACAATTTAAATACATAGTTTATCCTATATTTTGAATCATTCTACTCATCCATCTAGGCGTTCTCAACTCTACTAAACTCATTCTATGTTCTATTCTCTTGTCAACCGCTCAATAATCTGAACCATATATCACTTCAGTCTTATAAAATTAACCTTTCAGTCTTTTTGAAATTGTCTTATCAGATAACATACCAGACGATTCTCCCCACTTAACTCTGTGTCTTACATCATCGACAATACTACCGTTCCTTTGTACAACTGATCCTAAATACTTAAGACTTTCTACTACCAAGTGCTCGCTTATTGTCACTGATCTCCTCATTTCACCTACCTCGTGTTCTCATTTGTCAAACTCGTACTCTACGAGTACCCTGTCTGATTCTTACTTAGTCTTCGACATTATTATAATTTGAATTAAGAATTATATAAGAAGGATCCATGAAATCGGATGTTGTTACTCATAGATTGTTCAGATAATTCGAAACTGGAATTTAGATTATACTGATATTTTATCAAATACAAATCAATATCCTATTTCAAGAACATATTCAAACTTGACTATACTTAATTGACCCTAATATAACAAATTTTCATTGGTATATTATTTTTATGCAGGTTTTGAAACAAAAGCTTTATTTTATTGTGTTAAAATATGATCAGTAAGTCAAGAATAATATATTTTCGCAGTAAGTAATTAAAAATAAATAAATAAAAGCCTTGTCCTTATTTTAATGCTTTACAAAAAAATATAAATAAATTTATGATTAAATATATTTTTTCATCAATCAATATATGATTTGGTAATACATATAATTTACAAATAATGAAGTTAAAAATAAATCCGTTTTTATACCTCTTGTAACTAAGGTGATTTACTTGATTGACAAATTATTTTTTATTATTAATCGTTTAATTAATTTCAACAAAATATAGATAGTATTTGTAAATTATTATTGAGTTGAAATGTTTTTAAACAAGTGTAACATCATACATTATATAAATAAATAAATAATATTATATTCTAAAAAAGAAATAATTCCATAAAATAAGTTTAAGAAATTTGACCAGAAATAGTATTAGACTAAGTTTTCAACCAAAACATTCAGTATTCTTGAATACTAGTTAAAGAATACACAACAATTGAAAACAATATTTTTTTAAAATTTACAGTACTCTTGACTTTAATTTTCTTGGGAGAGCATAATGTTATGTCAAAAAATAAATTTAAAGAAGAAGAAATAGAGTTTCATGAAATAGCAGATAAGTATTTTTTAGTACAAAAAATTAATACAGGTTACAGAAAAGAAGTTCCAAAAGAACTTGAAGAAATCTATTCCTTGCCGAAAAAAGGTAATATTTTTTTAATATTAAAATTACTAATATTTTGCTTCGAAATTATTTATATAGTTACAAAGTAAATATATAATTTTAATTTTTTGCGCAATTTAACTTAATGAGAGTTGTGTTGTGAATAAATAGTATAATTGATTTATAGGTGAATAATAAATTTTTAAGTTATTTAAGTTTTCATTTTTATTATTATTTTCTATTATTAAATTAAATAATAATAAGTTTTGAATCACACCTATATAAACAAAAATGGCCCGATTTAAAAATAAGTATATAGAAAAAGGTACATAAATATTATTTATCATAAAAAAATTGTATTGATCTATACATTTTTCAAAAAGTTATAGAAATATAAAGTTAAAAATATACAATAAAAAATCCAAGAATTTTAACACAAAAATAACATATGGTAGCCATTTTCACCGTGAAAACAAAATAAATTCCGAAAAATAAACAAAAAATAATATTTATAATAATAAATAAAAACACAATTAAAAATTATTTATCAAAATAACTAGAAAAAATCACAAAATTTTCTAAAGTAATGTAAACAAATAAAATCATGAAATATTGTATTATATTCAGAGTTGTTAAAATACGGTATTTTATTTTTTTGTTGTATAATATCGTATAATACACTTATAATACCGTATAAATTCTTGTGGCACCTTAAAATTTGGGAAAAAATAAACTTTAGAGTGATTATTTTTCATAAAACTCAATAAATAAATAAGTACTTACTGAAAAAGCCTTTAGCAAAATTGATGAAAACAAAATGTTCAGGGAGTAATTAGTTAAAGTATTGAACTAAGATATTTCTCTATCCAGAATTCCTCTCTAGAGGATGATTTAGTATCAACTAAGTACCAACTATAGTCAATTTGCAATAAGATACCACCCATGATGTTAAAGGTCTGAGAACTCTACTTTTTTAAACAAGTATAAATACACAATTAGAATTTTACCACATTAAAAACTTAAAATTTTTAATAACTTAATAAATAAAATAATAAAACTTACTTTTTCCCTACAAAAAAAAATCCTATCCTTTAAATAAACTATTAAAAAATTAAAATATGGCATCTTACTATTAATCTTAAAATCTATAATTGTATTAACGTTTGTTACCTTAAAAAAAATAACTTAAGCACCTTATCGATTATAAATTTTAGTATCACAGAGTACTAAGAATTAATTTTAATTAAATTAAAATAAAATCCAAAAGAATATAAATGTTGATAAAGCTTTTTTTTTTTTTGATACAGCCGGTATAAAATAATTTTATACAAATGTATCATACCTTGTATCATACCGTATAATACACATGTATAATACCAACTCACATCTCTAATTATATTCATAATTTTTTTTTTAAT